TGTTACCAACAAAATCTGGAATGTGGGCAATTCTACAAAATAAATAATGGTTTCTTCAACAAATAAATGGCAAAGAAAAAAAGAGGGAAGGAGAACACATATTAAAAGAGATCCAATTTATATGTGGATCTTGTTTGAAAACCTAACTCAAATAAACCAACTGGTGAGGGAAGAGATGTTTGAGACAATCAAGAAAATTGGACATTGACTGGATATATGACAATATTATTATTAATATTTAGTTATAATAGTAGCATTGTAACAACATTTTTTAAAAGAGACCTTAGTTTTTAGTAATAGATATTATAATATTGCAAATGAAATGATATGGTGTCTGGGATCTGCTTTAAAATAATCCATTGGGGAATAAAGGTACTAATTGCCCCTAACCGCTTCTGTCTGCCAGCCTGATAACCCCTAACTGTTCCCCTGCTGGCTTGATTGACACCTAACTGCTACCCTGCTGGCCTGGTCACCCCTTACTGCCCTTCCCTGCAGTCCTGATTGCCCCCTACTGCCCTCCCCTGCCAGCCATCTTGTGACAATGTGGGGTGGCCATCTTGTGGTGGCCATCTTGTAATGATGTGGGGGCAGCCATCTTGTGACGACATGGGGGTTGGCCATCTTGTTTTGGTCATATTATGATGATATGGGGTTGGCCATCTTGTTATGACATGGGGGCGGCCATCTTGTGACATCATGGGGTGGCCATCTTGTGACATGAGGGTGTGAGAGTCAATTTGCATATTACCTCTTTATTATATAGGATAAACTAGAGACCCGATGCACAAAAATTCATGCACTTGGCGGGGGGGGGGGGGGAGGTAGGGGTCTTCAGCCAAGCCTGCACCCTTTCACAGTCTGGGACCCCAACTGACAGCTTAGGCCTGCTTCCCAGGGGATTGGGCCTAAGCTGGCAGTCAGGCCTCTGGCAGCCCAGGAGCCCTTAGGGCATGTCTGACTGACATCTAAACCATTAGCTGGACATCCTTAGTGCTGCCTCAGAGGTTGAAAGAGCTCCCACCACCACGCTGCACTGGCCAGCCACGAGCCGACTCATCTCACAACTGCCTGCCCACAGCCCAAGCGTCAAGATGGACAAGTTCCTCACTCTTGCTTCCTCCAAAAACATTCTGTCTAGCTCAAGCAGTTTAAACCTCTCTCTCTGCTCACATGGCTAACCCCTACTCATCATTAAGGCAACAGCAAGCCTGCTTCTTCTAGCAAACCTTTCCTGACCCTCCAAGACTGAGTCAAATAATCCATCTAAAAAACCCCAAACATTCTGTGCTTCTCTATCATAACTCTTACTTGCTGCATCCCATAGTAGAATCTAGGTATCATGAGGGCATGGATAATTTTCATCTTATTTACCATTTTAACCCCTCTTGCTAGGTACTCAATATTTGATAAATTTACAAAAGGCATGACCCTTCCACTTTCCAACTTCTCACATATCTATACCTCCCTCAATTTTTCTTCTTTTCCCATCTTCCTTCCTGATCATGATGCACATGAATGGTTGGCTGTTCACAAAGCATTCCCAAATTTATATCCATAGCCTTCCCTAGGCATCTCATCTAATAAAAATTCAACTAGTAAATTCTAATCTAACATATTTTTATCTCCAAGCCCCACCTATGGCTCCAAGGATTCAATCTCCTATCTTCAATCTCCTGTTATCTTCCAAACTCACCTTCACGCTAGAGCTAAGGAATTATCTTATCTTCTTTTTGTTTAATATATTTTATTGATTTTTTACAGAGAGGAAGGGGGAGAGATAGAGACATCAGCTGCCTCCTGCACACCTCCCATTGGAGATATGCCTGCAACTAAGGTACGTACCCTTGATCGGAATCGAACCCGGGACCCCTCAGTCCGCAGGCCAACGCTCTATCCACTGAGCCAAACCAGTTTCGGCTCTCTTATCTTCTTAATAACCCTTATGGTCTCAAGCTTCTCAATCTGTGCATCCTTCCATTGCCTGGAATGCCCGTCTCTTTTACCTTTATCCTTTAAATCTAGGTACAAGTGTCTCACTCGCCTTTCCCAGGCAATGTTCCCACAGCAGTATAGTCTTATTTATATTATAGAATTTATCATACTGTTTTGAAATTATGTGTAGTTGTCTGCTCTGCTAGATTGTGAATTCCTAGACAGAAGGGACTCTCTCTCCTTCATGCTTGCAACTCCAGCATATAAAGTACAATGCCTATTATAAAATCGGCCCCAAATAAATATTTCCTGAATGGATTACATCATATTGTTCCTATTAATTAAGAGACTGAGCCAGAGCTGAAAAGAGTGCCTAAATCTACTTGCCTAAAGGAGGAAATCGGTTTCTCTGTCCTCTACTGGGCAGAGTAATATCTTAAGCTCTTTTTCAAAAATTTTGGATAGGTTTGTGTTAGGTCAAAGTCCAGGACCAGAGAGTAAGGCCCAGGCTAAGGTAAGCTTAGGAGAATCTACTCAGTTCACAGCAGTTTTAGTGACCCTAACCAGTGGTCAGCAAACTGCGGCTCGTGAGCTGAGGTTTGCTGCTCTGTTGACTTATGAGTTTGCCGACCACTGCATAAGGCATTACCCTTACCCAGAAGTGTTGACTTTAGGTTAAAGACATTATTAAAATGTTTTTTAAGTGATTTTCCCTAAGGCAGTGGTCAGTAAACTCATTAGTCAACAGAGCGGCAAACAGTTTGCCGACCACTGTCCTAACCCAACACTGAGATTATCCCAATATCAATTTTCATAAAGGCTAACTCTAAAGCAAGACCAATCTAGTTTAAAGGTTTTCATAGTCAACCTAGAACAGATCTACAACCAGAGCCAGGCCAAAATCCAAGGAATTTTTGAAACAAAGAATAGAGTGACTTGCTATTTACTGCTCTGCTTAAAGGCAGTGCAACAATTCTGATACTCTTCCTGGAAGATGTAGCTCCAAGTTATCAGTCACATGCAAACCAAGATGTACCTTCAAATCTTTCAGGATCCTAATATACTGAAACAATGTTCAAGTGTACAAAACACACTGTCAACATTCACTGTGTCGCCTACTTTCTCTTTAAGTGAATACCTATCTTTTTCCCATCTTTATATTGGATCTCCTGTAATCAGGGGTTGGGTATTGTCTTATTTTCACAAGATGATTTTAATTTATATATTTCTCTGCTTTTTCTCTGCAAGCAAATGTTTTAACACACACACACACACCTTCTAAATAGCCATTAGTGAGAAATATGATACCTCCTTCTGTTGGTGAGGATAGTATTTTATAGAATCTAGTTTCAGAAGGGAAGCTAAGTGTTTGGGTGGGAATAGGGGGAGGGATCTATGAAAAATCTGTATTAGCCAGTAAGACAAAGAGAAATCTGTCAAGGTATTCAGAAGCTAAAAGGGCAAGGAGGCAGAAAAAGACTACACTAGGTTCCATGGGGTTTTCTGATTATCAGATCTACTGAAACTCAATATTACTCATCAGTTACCTGAGTCATTGGATTTCATAATCCCAGTTTTCAGAATATAATGTTTAGTTACCTCTCCTTTGTGACTATCTATAACCTTGAACAATATGTTCAACTCTCACTCAGGTTTGGCCTTTCTTCTCCCTTTAAAAATTATATAGAGAAAGGAACTTCATATTTGAAGGATGTTGAAAGTTTACTCCTGTAGGCGTGCCTTAGTAACTCACAGCTTGCACTTTTCTCCTTCCTGTAGTGAAAGTGAAGTTTAGTGGAAAAAGTCAGAAAGCTAGGAATTTGGAATCCTGGTTACACCACTTCCTGCTAGCTCTTAGGTCTTGAGCAACCAACCTTAAAGCCTGAATGCTCAGATTCCAAAACTGTAAAATGAGGAAATAAATTGGGGATAATAAATACCTTCCTTGAAGAGTGATTGTTAGTAAAATGAAGTAAGGGAACCACTAGACTAGAATACAAAGTCCAGAGAAATGGCGAATGTCTTGAACTCTAATGATTCTTGCTCACAAGCACCCCAGCGTGCACACCCACTCACATATACCTAACCTAAAGCAATAACATATACGGTAGTGGGAGCGAGCTCAATAAATATTTCTTAAATGAAGTAATTTTTTTTTGTCCCTTGTCTTATTTTTCTAAAGCCTTCAGGGCATTCCTTTTTCTGCCTTCCTCCCTATCATCAGCTATTCCTAACGAGACACCATTTAATACCACCCACCTTCCATTTCTAATGCGATGGGGGTGGAGGGGACAGTCAGAACGTAAGATTCACAGCCATTCATGGACTTGTACCACGGCCACTGATTCATGTTTAAACGACAAGTCAAGCCGCGAACCCAGCCAGCCAGCCGGCCCTCCCTGGAAGACAACTTTCCCGAGACGCCGTACCATCCATTCTCTTCGCTAACAAGAGACTGCTGTGTAGGAAACCCTCCGCTCTCAAAAGTTACGGCAAAGGCTCCGCTCGCCTCCCACGGAAACCCAGCGGGCCGAGGACGGGAGGGACTTCGGAGCCCGGGGTGCTGCCCGAGGGCGGGTCACTATGGACCTGGCCCAGCGGCGCGCCTCACTCCCGGGAGGGAAGCTAAGGGGCGCGGCCGCCTCAGGGCCCGGGGGCACAGGGTCCAGTCCCTGACAACGTGGGCAGACAGCACACACCGCGCCCCCGGGCCCTACCCGCCATGACCACCACCACCCTCACGGCCCAACCGCCACCCCGGGGACCCCCAAAACGCTTAACCCCTCACGGAAAAAAAAAACAAAACAAAAAACAAAAAAAAACGAACGCCGCTAGCCCCCAACCCCTAAATCAGACAGCCGCTGCCTGCTCATTGGCTGCACCCGCATCTCCTTCACCCTCATTGGCTCTCCGGACGGAAAGCCCTCCTCTCCGAGGGAACCCTCGCGTACGGCGGCACCCCCAAGCCTAGCAACCTCAACCCCGCTACCGAAAAAGCCCGGCCCCCCTCACCCCCGGGACGGCGACGCCCGGGGAGCGCGGAGCCCCGGCCCGCGGGGACTCACCGTGTAGTAGGAGAGCAGCCCCGCGTTGTAGTCCAGCACGAACCAACGGTACTGCCAGCCCTTCATCACGTTAGTCCATTTGCTCAGCGGCCCCTCCATGATGGACGCCATCTTGGGAGCCGCCAATGACAACAAACGGCCTGACGTCACTCGCCTATAAGGCATTCATGGGCCGGGGGTGGGGCTTCGGGTGGGAAGGGGGCGTGTCCGGGGCGGGGCCTTGAAGGGGCGGGGCTAACGGCGGCTGCTTCACCTGGACTTGCCAACTCTCGCTCCCCACAGCTATCATCCTCACACTCGCTTTCTTTGGTCGCCCATTGTGTGTGGAACTGGGTGCCTGGGATGTGACCAACGCAACCATGAGTACAGCTATGAAGATGATTGATTACAAGAATTCATTTTACTAGCCATCATGATACCTTACATTTCCAAAAGAGTACACATCTGGCCTTTCGGGGTTTTGTTGGTGGTGTTTTTTTTTGCATTCATTACACAAATTCATTCATTTTATATAGTATTTGCTGTTTTATGCTTTGACCACTCAGTAGAGACTTCATGTAGGGTTGAGGGGAACGGGCGATAAAATAAATAGTAAATTATCTTGCATATTCCTGTAGTATTAATATACTGGTTTCTACCGTGTTTCCCCGAAAATAAGACATCCTCCGAAAAGAAGACCTAGCACATGGAAAGATAAGACATTCCCTGAAAATAAGACCTAGCGCAACTTTGGGAGAAAAAATTAATATAAGACACTGTCTTATTTTCGGGAAAACAGGGTACATCCAGGCACTGTTAGACATTCTGAGAATTAAACAGTGAAGGGGTCAGACAGGTTCCTTGCTTTCTAAGAGCTTCAATTTGGTGATTGAAAGCAACCATTAAACAGTAAACAAGAAAATATCTGATACTGACAAAGGCCTTACAGAGAACTTAAATGTATGTAATAGGAAATCAATGAGTGGCTACTTTATGTTGGGTGGTCAGGGCAGGGCCCCTCAGAAAACAACATTTAAATTGAGGTGTGAAAGGTTAGAGCCCACCATGCAAATTCCAAAGGAAAGAGCTAAAAAGGAAACTGGGAAGTGGAGCATTAGCTATAAGTGGCAGTGAGGTCAAGAGAGAGGTTTTCTTTCTATTTTACTTTATTTTATTTTGAACTTAAAAAGTATTTTGTTTATTACTGTTTTGTGAATCTCTTCTCTTTGCTGATAACAGAAGTGCTAGGAAAAAATATATCACTGAGTGAGCTAAACAGAGAACCTACTTGCTAGCTAATCAATTAGGTAAAGATCTAAAGTAAATTAAAGTTTCTCAGGCTTGATCTGTTAGATATCTTTTACCCTAGTTATTGAGGTATAATTGCCATATCACATTATATAAATTTATGGTGTACAATGTAATGATGAAATTATTACCACATTAAAGTTTTTAGTTAATATCCATCACCTCACCTCACAATTTTTTTCTTGTGATGAGAAGTTTTAAGGTCTATTTGATTAGCAACTTTCAAATCTACAATTGTTAACTATTATCACTATCCTCTATATTACCTCCTCATAACTTTTTTTATCTTATAACTAGAAGTTTTTACCTTCTGACCACCGTTAAGTTTGATATAGTCACACTTTTTTATTTTTGCTTTTATCATTACCAAGACCAATGTGAAGAAGCTTTTTCTTTATGTTTTCATCTAAAAGTTTTATGGCTTCAGGTCTTACATTTAAAGAATTTAATCCATTTCTAGTTACTTTTTGTGAGTAAAGATAGTAGTGTAGTTTCTTTTTTTTTTTCATGTGAAGATCCAGTATTCCCAGTGCCATTTATTGAAGAGACTATCTTTTCTCCAGTGAGTATTTTTGGCTCCTTCATCGAATATTAGTTGACTGTATACACACACACACACACACACACACACACACACAGGTTTATTTCTGGGCTTTCAATTATGTCCTATTGGTGTATGTTTCTGTTTCTATGCCAATACCATACTGTTTTCATTACTATAGCTTTGTAATATAGCTTGGAATCAGGAAGTGTTTGTTCTTATTTCTCATTAATGCTTTGTGTATCCAGGTCTTTTGTGGTTCCAAAGAAATTTAAGGATTATTTCTTCTTTCCTATAAAAATAAATCCCTTGATAGGGATTGCATTGAATCTGTAGATGGCTTTGGGTAGTATGGTCATTTTTAACAATATTAATTCTTCTAATCCATTCACACAGGATATCTTTCCATTTATTTGCCCAGGTACCTAATAGTATTAATCATGAGTCCATATAAACACATGCCTGTGTTTTCATTATGCTGCATAGCCTCTCCAAAACACACTACACACTTCTCACAGAAATTTTATGTCTAGAAACATTATTCAGCAGAAAGCCTCATGTTGCTGGTGTCCTTTGGGATAGAGTATTGGATCTTGAAACATCATAATTCAGATTGAGTTAAAAGATTTACAAGGTTAATGACTACTCTTCCATTAGCTTCTTAAGAGCAGGAACCAAGTTTTGCTCTTCTTTATTACCCTAGAAACTATCTCAGGCCCTGGCACACAGAAGGTGCTCAGTAATTACTGCTTGATCTGAATCAGATTTACTAAGTTCCACGAATTGTGCTAAGCATCATCACTTATACTTTCTCCTATAATCCCCACAACAATTCTTGAGCACTTATATCATGACATCCATTTTACAGATGAGGACAGAGGGACACAGAGTTATTGAGTGGCTTGCTCAAGGGTTACACAACTAGTAAACAGCAGAACCAGAATTAGATTCTAGGTTTTTTCACCACAGATCCATTTCACCTGTACTGCAAGCTATATTATGATGTCTATGCATAAATAAATGTCTTGGACACGACACAGGCAGTATCATAAGTTTCTAAATCAGTCTTGACTTTTATCAGAGTCACCAGGCATAGGCAGGTTCTACTCAGCTTAAATTTCATAACACAGGTCAGCAGGGAGAGCTGGGAGAGGGCAGTTCTTGACTCCATGTCCAATTTGCACAGTACTTTGTCCACATTCTACACCACGTGTCAAACTACATGCTTTAGATCATCGGCTAAAATTAAACCTGGAGAAGACATATCAGCTCTCATTCCCACATTCATCAGTGACTGGCTATTCGTGAAAGGAGGTAGCAATTGAAGCAGAGCAGAAAATGGGGATTAGATTCAGAATCAGAAGGAAGAGATGAGGTTCTCCATAAGCTCATCAAGGGCAGGAACTGGGACTAACTCATCCTGCCACTTAGAATATCAATAAATGTTACACTGACAGAATTCATAAAAGATCATTCTGGTAGCAAAATTGAGAACAAATCAGAGAGAGCAAGACTGGAAAAAGAAAACTAAGAGATTAAAAATCAAGCAAGCAGTAGAAGTGTATCAACTTAGACAATGACAGCAGGAATGGAGAGTGGGAAATATACTGTGTTGTATATTTACTGTGTTGTATATTTATTGTAAATATACTGTGTTGTATATTTATTGAGTAGCATTTTAGAGTTAAGATTTTAAAACTTACTAAACGACATAATTAAATAAGGAGAAAATAAGCAGAGGCAGAGACAATACCAATAACTTGTCTAACTTAATGATTAAGTAATCAAGTTTTGTTTTTTTTAAAAAAAGGAAGAACATAAATGGCTGTCTCTCTCTGTGTGAAGTTTCCTTTATACGCTGTTTATAAATGTGATTTTTTTAAAAGTTTTTAGCAAGTATCATTACCAACCTTTTCGCAGATCATAGTTACAGATTGCTTCAAAATAAATTCTGTTATTACTAGTTTGCTGCCTTCTCTTCCTAAACTTCCCACCAACTGCTTTTTTGTTGTTGTTGTTGCTGTTGTCATGTTTCTTAACTGGCAGTTGTTGAGCATCAAATAAAATAACATTTACCAAATACTGCCTTCCTAAGGGAAAACACAGAAACCTACAGACACTTGACTGTCCTTTGCTATGTTAGAGGAAACAGAAAATCAGACTTAAATATGGGAAAAGCCAAATAAGTCATAGCCTATCTTGTCCACATACCCTTTCTTCTATCCGGATAGCAAGAAAGTTTAGGAAAATTTGGCTATGATTTTGGGGCAGAAGGGGAGCTGGGAAAGAAGAAAAAATATTTTAGGAGCTCTAGGCTCTATAAGTGTTCCAAGGAGGGGAAAGAGGAAGGCACTTATCTTTTACCCTCATCTTCTAATGTCCCTTGGAGACCCTCATCCCAGCTACCCTGAGCTTTGTGCATTCCACCAACATCTCTCCCTCAGATGGAAGGGACTTGTCCTTTCCTTGTGCCCGACCTAAACTCTGAACAAACATCTAACAGAGTCTGGGATACCTATTGCATTTACTGGTTCAGAGACACTCATGCTCCCCCACACCCCCTTCCTTGAGGACTTGGTCCTATGTGCATATTCATTCTTAGCACAGTGCCTGATATGGACAGTATGGAACAGTGGAAGCAGCGTAGGCAATCCGGATAAAAAGTTGAAGGGAAGCTGGTTTGCTGGAAATACAGTTTTTACTTATAGTTTGTAATTATTTGGGTTGACTTAGCGGGGCTAATAGAGGTTATAATCAGAGACTAGAGAAAGTTTTCAATTTCAAAGGTAGAATAGTTCAGGTGATAGAAAGTTGAGGAGTGGAGAGCTAAAGTGTGTGGAGAGGTATTGATTATAGGAGACTGGAAGTCAAAGAATTGTGAGACCACCATGCTAGATACTTCATTTACATGGATGTTGAAAATTATTTGAATGAATGAAATAATTATGGTGCAAAATTATTATTGTATATAAATAGGTATGAAATGGTTTTAATTATATGTAGTATGATTTTAATTTTATAAAAAGTGTACATGCCTTTCCAGAAGACTATAAAGATATATAGAAAAACATGTAGTCACTTTGTGAGATTGTGGTTGATTTTACTTTTTTCTTTATACTTCTTTGTATTCTCCAAATTGTCTATAAGTCATAGGCACTGTATTTATAGTGAGGGATAAATGCCATTTTGAGAAGGAATAAAAAATATTACAATAAAACATACCACCAGATAATTATGTCAGCTCTGAATTTGCCAGGTAGGCCATTTATCTCTCTATATATAC